GCAGCAAGAGGAGAACAAAAAAGACGAAAAAGAGAGCTGTCAAGTAGAGGAGCTCTGGCTGCAGCGTCTTGCAATCACATTTTCTTTGTAAGGAATAACAGACATTTTTTGCCCAAGTTAATTGGATTCTGGAGTTAAGGATGTCTTTTTTGCTCCATAAGGTTAGGTTATGGATTGCGTAGGCTGCTTTGTTTCGAACAGTGCAAGAAAAAAAGTGTCCTTACAACTTGCTGGGAAACAATGCCATCAGACCCAGTCTGTTTTTTTAACTAGGTTTAAGCATTAATTTAAATGTTTATTACTGGAGGGAAACATCATGTGTCATTTCAGCATACAGAAATCATGGGTATTTTATGATTTTTACCACAAACCATCCTAGCCAGATCAACCTGTATGCATAGTTTTTATTTTGTAGACATTTAACAGATTATTTCCAAATTATCACCTTTTTGGTAAATCCTTTAGAGTGTTAAAGGAAACCGTTTTGGACTATTGCGTGTAAAATCACAGTTGAAGACCATAACCTCACCCACATGTCTAAATTCAGCAAATGATATCACAAACATGTAGGAGTGCAATTAATGATCACCAATTACAGCATTATTTAACAACATGGGTGAGGGGCAGGAGAGGTTATTTGAAAGAATCCTATTTATACCTCTTTGAAATGATCTACTGCTATAGAAGTCTGCAGCACATTCTATCGTACTAAAGATGGGGTGCAGTGAATAGCATTGGTATTTTTGTGGAAAGGAAAAAAGGATGGAAGAGAGTACAATTAAGATGTTAAAAATGCTATATTTGCATAATCAGTTTTGTGCAACATCTTCCTATGAAAAATGTACTTACTTGGTTCTTGCTTCTGTCTTGTATTAGCCGTTTTCTTTATGTGATCTGTATCTAGAAGGCACAATATACAAAAAGCTATTGAGTCATTGTATAGTTCATCAAGCTATTTACTTAGAAGTTTAAGAAATCCATCTGTTCCATTTAGCCAAGCCATCACCGTTAACTCACATTTAATGCCAATACCTTTGTCAGAGGCACATAGGAATACTCCTGTTTGAAATGCAAACTGTGTGAAATATAATGAACTTTCAAATGGGCAATAAGGAGCAGATCTAAATAAGGATTAGGAATCAGGGCAGGCTTGGTGGGCCAAAAGGGCCTACTCTGTGCTGTAATATTTTGTAAAGCCAAAGTCTCTGTGAATGGTCAGAAAACTGCTGGAATGAGTATTTGAAAGTATAAAAAAAAGTGATGACATTTGTTTTGCATTTGGTTGAAGAGCATGTAATTGAAAGTTACTTTTACCCTTACGGTTCCAAACTGTCACCAAAAGATCTTTTATAACATTTTCATAAACAATGTAAGTTTCATTTATTAGGTTTATAACAAATTGAATCTGCAAAATGAAAAAGCTGCAAGCTGCAGACATTGGCAGTCTGTATGAGCAAAACAAGCCAGAGTAAGTAATATCACAACTCATTGTTTCAGACTGATTCAACAGGGATCTGTTGTCTCATCTGAGATCATTACCTGAATAATCAGGGATATTCAGTAACTTATCTATTACAGACAACAAACAGATGGACACTGCATATGGGTGTCAACAAGCAATATGCTCCAAGGAAAGGGGCAGCCGGTCTGGTTGACACATCTACTGATAAATCCATCACATGCAAATGTCAACAACATTGCAGCTGCCACAATTCCTCGATACTGGGGCGGAAAAAAGAGAACAAAATGACTGAAATACACAGTCCCTGGTTTAAGAGTTGGAAGCAACAAATGCAGGTGGTCAGATCTTAAAATTAGAAGTTGTGTAAAGGTGCCAACGTGCAAAAAAAAAACTTGTCAACCAGACTGCCTGCAACAGCAGGAGACTAGTGCAGTTTACTACTTCATTTTTGATGACTGAAGTGGCCTTAACCAAGTGGAATTTACTTTATGCTTGCCTGCAGCTTATGACCTAAACCTAAAATGATTCGTGTCTGGCCTTGTTCCAACAAATATTTCTCCATATACGTTTGAAGTAGAGAATCATACATAGACAAGTATGTACAATAAAACTCTTGCTTTTCCACACTTAGGTAATAGTATTGTCACATGTGCTAGTGAACAGTCAAGCACAAGACACGCGGTCCATCTGCGTGACCAACACCTCTACATCTAAAATTAAGTGCAAACCTTAAGTCGTGTTACTCTTGAAACACAGCAGTTACTTATGACAGTTGTAGCCAGTTAGGATTCATAACAAAAACAGCTGCACGCTGGAAAATAAATAGCCAAAAATTTTGTTAGGCCTGCTGAGATTTTCCAGCACTGTTTTTAATTCTGACTTTCTCTCAGATTGAATGTAAATCATTGTCATCACATAATTTCTTATCTAAGGCCGATTTTTGTTAACTCTACCTGTACAGAGTTAATTGGGAGCTCGGAAATGCCCAACCTGTAGATTTACTTGGACCCAAGAGTTAGAGTACAGCCCATAACACAGCAGGGCTTAGAAATACTGCACTTGCCAGAGGCAGGTGCTGTTACTGTAAAATCATCTTTAAATGAAAAGTTTCCAGAACACAAACAAATTCAGAGATGAAAAGTCTTCTTCCTGCAAAAGGTTGGGAGGTGGGGGGCAGTGCTATGCCTTCAACAGGAGGATCAGTCTACTGTTGATACGGACCTAGATTGGTGCCTAGGCAGAACACATATGGCTGCTTTGGATGGCGTTGATAACTGTTTGCTAATGAGAACAACTTTCAGTTTTGTCCAATTTTCAGTGGAACAGCTGCTAAGTACAGTTATCGAGCAGTCTTGTAAGCCTCCTAGAGAAAGCTGCATGCATTATACATTCATACTAAATCACAACAGGCACCAAACTATACTCAGTCAAATTGCCTGCACCTATTGTCAGATTCTCACCATCTCCTCACTTTACAGAGCTTAAATATACTTCTACACTAAATGCCAGGAAACAAAACTCAACAGAAGCATTGATCTTGACTTCAGCCTTCCAGCAACTGAACTATTAGACTTCATCCAAAATTTAAAAGAGTAAGCTTTCCATTCTGAAGTTGTCTGTGCGTTTTAGGGTGGCAGGTATAGGTCTTAATGGGGGAACTGTCCTTTCCCACTCTGGAACTTAACATTTTTCACCACTCTTTTCTCTTTTCACACCCCCTCCCCCACACCAAGTGAATTGAGAAGGGATGTGGCTTCACAGCTTCAAAATTTCCCAGTCCTTCGCCTAAATGGTTACCCATTATCCTTTAATAGCAACAGTGATCATTAAACTGAGTTAAGGCTAATTCTGCTTTCACTTGTACTTTTCAGCAGGTAGTAGATAGCTATGTGGTGGCCAGTTAATCTTTCCCTCCTTAACCCAGATCCAAACCAAGCAGTATATTTCATTGCTGAAAGAGGGATTTGTACAGCAAATGACAATAGGAACAGATGAATACAAGACAAGGGCTGAGGATGGCAAAAATCAATTCACAGCAAAAAGCATATGTATAATAAGACTGACACCAACTCCACATCATCTTTATCTCTCTCAACAGTATTTGTAAATAAAACTATTAGTTGCACATACTTGCATTTATGCTTATTTTCAAAAGGTTACCAAACTTAGGCCATTTTTACACATGGGGGACATGGTGCAAATATGTCCTTTCCTTCTCGTAATGGAGGGTTTCAGTCCGTCACCAGGTCCCATTTTGTGTAATCTCCTTTCCCAAAATGCCTTCAAACTATAATCACCCCATGCTACCTTTGTGTTTTCTACATTAACAGCACAATTACAAATGCAATTTGCTATTATATAGATTGATCAATGTGTCACTTTTAGGTTTTCCTTTACTCACCATACCCATTGCTTAGGGCTATTACCTGTATATTAATAAAGTCAATAAAAATTGAAATGTTTTTGAAACTGATCAAAGAAAGACATTCGAATACTGTTCAAGGGTTAGGTTTCCCCATTTTTGCACCTGAAAAAGTCTTAACACATCAGCTACAGAGAAAAGCTGTTTATATTCTGTGTTGACAACACACAAACTCAAATAATACTCACGCTTTGCAATGTGATCCCCACAAATACATTCCAGCCATCCAATGTAGTCAAGTTATGGAGTCAAAGCCTGTCAGAACTTTTCAGAAACAGAACTTTTTAAAAAAAAATCATAGGCCATAACTGGTGAAAGCAGGCCTAGAAGATAAAAGGATATTCAACCCCTTTAAATTTACAGAATTATATCCAAACCGCATTCAGCTAAAGATATTTTAGTACAACAAGCAACTGTACCTGGATCATTATTTTTTGGTACCAGCTCTTCACTTTCTGTTTTATTCTCAACTATTGGCTCATCCTCATCTGATAAGACAAGAAATGCTTCCTCTGGCAAGTTGCCATTGCACTCCTCTTTTGTTGGGGAACTGCATGGAGATGTGTCCATCTGCTCTTCCTGCAAGTCTTTCAATGAGCTGTCCTTTGGTGACGGGGAATCCACTGCAGGAATAATTCCTTGATTACTGGATAATTCAGAGTCCTTCTCCGGGGCCAGTTTCTCCAAAATAGGGATTATTTCTTCAATTTCCAGTTGGTTGTTCTCAGCCAATTTGTTCTCACTTAGTTTGTCTTTCGTTGCAATCTCATTTTCAGTCTCTACACACTCGATCTTAGAGCTTTCACAATTATTTTTCTCTTGTACAGATTCTATGCTACTTGTTATTGCTTCTTCACTAATGTCCAATGAACTTTCATGGTCTTCTTTTTCTCTCACTGAGGAAGACGACAGCTGTAACTTAAGGCTAGTTTCATCTGGCATTTTCTGACACCTGCTGTCGCTAACAGAAGCTGGCTTTTCCTTCTCTGAAGGACAGTGGGAATCAGAACCCGATTTATCCGCAATTAAAGAATCCTGCTTCAACTCAACAGACTCTGATTCCACAATGTCATCTCTTTTGCTCTGAACATCCAAAATATGGGTTTCTGTACTCCCAGTAGAAATCTGTTCATCCTTAGCAAATAGGGGTGTTGAGTCCATTTTTTCTTGTGAGCTTGAACCCCCATCTTCATTAAAACATTTTTCAGCACAGTTTAGTTCATGTGTTTGGGCAATATTGAGTTCATCAATGGGGTGGCTCTGCAGTTCCTCTGGGCCCAGCCTCACATCATTAATACTATCAATGTCAGTATCATCCATGCAATTAGTATTTAGTGAGGATTTGTTGTCAGAATCTCCATTTTCATGTCTACCATTACACAGTTTAGTTTTGGTCTCTTCATTTGCTTTTAAAAGTTCCTCTCTGCTTTTATAGATAGCCTCTAGCTGTTGTCGGTCACTTGCGCGCATTGTTTTTCTAGCTTTGAAGACTTTTTTTGGAAACTCTTCACTGGTATCCATGTCAGAATTCCTAAAGACAAGAAAATTAAAAAAAAGAAAGAAAGAACTGAGAGATAATGTTCATTTAGTAGACTCAACAGGTCAGACAATTAAACCAATAAATGCACATCATTTAGTTACTTTTGGTAAGCTAATTAGAAATCCAAAGTGTGCTCAGACCTGCCCAATACAGTGATTTTCCAAAGCAGTACCCAAACATATGCAATACACTTAATACAATCCTATATTCAATTCTTGAGACAAAACGGTCTCTAAAGTCATATTTTAGAACTACCAATTTAAAAATCCATGTAATTTTGAACCAAGTATTGGTAGTTTTAATCTAGCTAGTAATCACTGCTAGAATTACATTCTGAAATGAATAAATGTTGCAGATTTTTAGGTTAGCTCAATACACATTTCTAATACACGAGGTAAACCAGAAAATTCAGGCCTGAAGCTGTTTTACGTATATTTAGATTCACCATTTGTTTCAGTATCAAACTCTAATATACAATGGTCTCATGTATAAAATCACACCAACACCACTGGAGCTTCTAATCATAGGAATAGAAAAAGTTGGAGTGGCAATGATACAGCAGGTAAATAAATTTTAATTCCCTTTTCTTGAAGTACAAATTTACTTGCTTGCTTTAAGGGGTGCAAACAGCTGCAGTTATTTACATTGCCATTTTTAATACAGTACAATTAGTTTTAAACTTGATAATCAGAATGCAGAACACCTGTGGGTGCTCCAAGGGACTGGTGGTGGCCATTCTTTGAGTACTGCACTTTGTGGTTATGATATTCCTACATGTTACTTAGGAAATTGTTGTAAACTTCATAGAGACTTGTTACATTGAGGGGTTTGCGAAACATCTTCAAAAGCCATCAAGACTTGGCAGTTCAGTGGCTCTGTGGTTAGCAGTGCTGCTTTACTGCGCCAGGGACCCGGGTCGATTCCAACCTTGACAACTGTCTGCATGGAGTTTGCACATTTGGTGTCTGTGTGAGTTTCCTACAGGTGCTCCAGTTTCTTCCCACAGTCCAAAAACGTGTAGGTTAGATGGAGTGGCCTGGCTAGATTGCTGAGAGTCCAGGGACGTGCAGGCTTGGTGAGAAATGCAGGGTTACAGGGACAGTGTAGGGGTTGGGTCTGGATGGGCTGCTCTTCAGAGTGTCACTGCAGACTTGATGAGCTGAATGGCCTGCTTCCACACTGTGGGGATTCTATGATTCTAAAACTTAGGCATTTCAAGTTTCCTCCACCACCTGTGAAACTATTGAAAATCTGTAATAAATCAAAAGCTTTCATGGTACAGTTTCTGGTGTTAGTCCATGGTCTGTCAAAATTTCACAAGCTACTGTGAACTCATGGTGACCAGATACTAGTCAAGCAACACAACTACTACCCAGGGCTACAATTTTTTCTGTTGAAGTAGTAAAATGTTTGTCAAGTGCTGGAATTAAAAGGTGATGCAAAATATCCTTTATGATACAATTTCAGATCTAGAGGTTGTCTCTAAGGTAAAGTTTGATTACTTTCATTTTAAAGTGATCTCCCAGAATGTGTGCAGAAATTCAAAAATATTATGAGGTCCGAGTGTAGAAGAATTTTTTTTTGTTTAAAAGTAAAATGTTCCCAACTTTTTAAATTATCTGAAAACCTGAAATGTTCATTATTCTTTACCCTCTTCGGCCACTCTTCCACCCAGTTCATGTGAAACTTTGAGCAGAGTTATCACGTTAATCCACACCTTTTTCGTTCTAACAATCAGACCAAACCTGTGAACCTTCATCTTTGTTACATCATTTGTTAGGTTATCCACCTAACAAAAACGGTGTTGCATTATTTCCATTGTCTCAATGTCCTTCTCAGATGAAGAAGCAAAAATTTCCAGTTGTCTGTGATCAAATTAAATTTGTTTTAAATAGATTCACCAGTAGAAATCAATGAGAACAGCATATAGGAAGCTCAATGCAGCTTTGCAATTTTTGACAGTTGATAATATTTGTTGCAGCACTACTGGTACCCTCCCAAAAAAGAAGAAAATAAAAACAAAAGACTAGTTATACCACTAGATTCTTGGGGCAGCAGCCAGGTGATTAGAGTACAGCTTCTAGTCCAAATAAAAGTTGACCTTCAAGAAGTCTGCATTGCCTATTTTAATCAGAACATTAAATAAAAGCAAGGAAACCAACTCAGTAGGACTGCCTGTTGTCAACTATCCCACCGTTCACTGTCCTTTTGATTCAGCAGTTCAAAACTGTCCCAATTCATATCTTACCCAATTCATTCTGTAACTATTGAGGTGTCACTTCAGATCATTAAAGATCGGCAAAAGAATAGGCTGTTTTTTTCACTATGACCCTCCTAGTGACAGAACAGATGCTGCAAAAGATATGGATTTTCACAAGTGGTTAGCATCAGTTTAATCTCATTGTTGTAGAGGAGTAGTTCCTGGATGGCTCAGTTTTATCCACTTAGCAACTGAGACTTAAATTATAGGACTGATTTTGAACCCATGGTTAAGAAAAAGGTATGCGTATTTGGCAAATTATCACATTCATATCCTCTGCCCAGTACTTCCCAACGCACATTTTCTTGCTGCCATAATTGCAGATGGCACACTTAACGTACATGTGGTCATGTCTGTAATCTCAGGTGATGTCCCAGGTAGCTGTTTGCAATGAAGATATCTGTCTAGATTTGATCGACACTTTCAGACATTTCACTGTCTGCCTCCCACTGTCTGCACAACTCCCAACGATTTGCTATCCTTCTCCTAATCCATTTCATCACTTGTGGCTTGTGAGGCAATGAGGGTAGGGCAAGACAGTGAAGTATTAAAATCAAGGTGGCAAAGGTGTCCTGCAGACTCAACAAAAGTGTATATAACAATGATGTCAGTGATGGAGATACTGAATTTCTGTACCAGCTTGGCGTTAGGATTTAAATTTGTATTTATACAACACCTTTAATCGAGATTGTTATTAAACAAGATTTAACATCAAGCCACAGGAAGATATTAGGGACGATGAAAGTACTTAGTTTTAAGAAGTATCGTAAAAGGAGGAATGGTGGAAATATATGGATGCTGAGGGGCCTGGTTCAGTGTGGTTATCCTGGAGGTTTGCAAGTTACCAGCAGTCTACACAAGACAGGGAGAAACTCACTGAAGGATTTGAAACAAACGTGAATTCAAAAATTGAGAAACTTAAAAATAGAGGCATTGCAGGCGGTTGTGAAGTAGTCAGCAAACACAGGGATAATGAACGAGCATGATTTGGTCCTAATCAGTTCGTTAAAAATAGCATGTAATTTATATACAGAGTTCCACAAACAGCAAGTGATTCAATAATTTCGATTCACTAATTTTGTGTTTTGATCAAATCCCCTCTGACCAGCAAAGTTCACTCAGATCTTCAAATAGTTCCATGGATACAAAGTGCGACAATACAGTAAGCCTTCAGTACTGCACTAGAATGCCATCCTGGAAAATGAATCTAGTGCCGTAATGGAGATCAAACCCACAATGTTTAATTAAGTTATGCTGACCCACTAGGGCGGTGCATGCATGGAACAAGTTGACAGAGATGGTAGTGGAAGTGGTTATATAATTACAACATTCATTCATGGGTACGTGAATAGGAAGGGCTTAGAGGGATATGAGCCAAATGCTAGCAAAAGGGACTAGATCAGTTTAGGATATCTGGTTGGCATGGACGAGTTGAACCAAAGAGTCCATTTCCATGCTGAAAATCTGTGACTAGGCTTGCTCAAATGGTGAAGTCTCAGATCAAGGGTATCTGACAATAATGGGAAAAAAAAAATTCCATGAAGTAGTTAACATCTTTAATAAAAGAATGGGCACAAAAGGTGCATATGTCCAATTAGTGGCTGCATGAGTAATATGGTAGCCATTGGTAGACAAATCCAGCGAGGAGGAGGAGGAGGAGGAGGAGGAGGAGGAGGAGGAGGAGGAGGAGGGAGTGACTACCCTGACATTAAGGCAACATTTGATCAAGTGGCATCAAGAAGCCCTGACAGCATGAAAAATCGAATTGGGAATCGGGAGGTAGATCAATCCATGGATTGGAGCCACAATTAGTACAAAGAAGGGTAGTTGGTGGCTTTTGGAGGCCGACCATTTTAGTCCCAGTACTCTGCTCAAGTTCCTTGGGCCTAGGCCCAATCATCGTCAGCTGTACGCCTGTTGACTGACAATTGAAATGTTCAGTTCCATTCACATATCAGGTAGTGAAGCAATCCATCCGTTAGAATGCGGACAACTTTCAACCTTGAGCTAAGAAGCAGTAGGTAGCATTTGTGCCAGACTATGACCATTTTCAACATGAGACAGCCATGTCCCCAATGACATTCAAATTGCACAGTGGTTTTAACACCCACCAAAACAAAGAATTTGTCACCATCCAGGAAAAAGCAGTCCAACACCCCACGTACTAACAAACATTCACTACCCTCAACACTGAAAGTGGTAGAAGTGCACACCCTATAAAAGATACACTGCAGCAACTAAGGCTTTTTTGACAGCACCTTCCAAACTCACAACCAATTATCTTGAAATAGGAAGACAGCAGATGCATAGGAGCACCAAAACTGCCAGTTTCCCTTCAAGATACAGACTACATTGGCTAAGAACCAAAATGCTGTTCCTTCGTTATAGAAGGATCAAAATCATGAAACACTCCTCACAGTAGTGCTTCAGGTGGCAGCACAACACCAATTTGAGGTTAGTCAGGAAAGGGAAACAAACGATGGCCTTGCCAGTGAAATCCATATTCCATGAAATAAAAGACACGCTTAAAAAGTTACATACAGACATGCAAAAAATCAGAGAAGTATACCATTTGGTCTTCAAGTCTGCCTTCCAAGAAGCAAGACCATGGCTGATCTGTTTACTTCGAATTCTATAATCCCGCCTACTCCCCCAATAACTCGTTTCGCACGTCTAACAAGAATCTCTCTCTGCCATAAGAGACAATGACGATGCTTTCACTTCTTTGAAG